AATCGCTAAGCGGCTCCGGAACCGCTCGGTCCAGGACGCGTTGTTCACAGGTAGCCTCAGGTAGCGCGTGTGGTAATTGTGAGAGTCGAACAGGGTTGAAGGCGGTACAAGGGGATCCGTACCCGAACAGATCATAAACGACCCATCTTGCCAACGAGGTTCGTCTCGGGCCGTCGGGGGGTACTATTGTAGCGAAGATCTAGCGAAAGGGAAGGATGGTGTGATACCCGGTCGGGAAGATGTTGGTGAGTTGGGGAGTGTAAACGAATGGCAGCCTCGCCCACGTATCTCTGATTCGTTGAGCGCAGCATGACACAATCAAAGAAGAATATGACATCCATTGATTGTCAAAAACTTCTAGTTGGGCAGGCAACCGGCGGCGTGAAGACAGAAGAAGTTCATTGACGTTCGAACGTCACACCTTTCGTGGTACGATGGGGCGACGCGCACTTGGCTAGGCTGGGTCACTCTCGGCAGGTAACTGAGGTTGATTCTCTCCAGTATTCATTGCAAGGTGGCGAGCCGACTTTGCAGATACAAATCTCCTGGTAGCCTACGGGCTTCACGCGTACAGGGTGGACGTGATCCAGAAGCATGTGACGAAGTTATACGATGAGCCTGTGCATCGAATTTATGCGGCCACGGGATTACCCCATCACTTTGCAGGTTGACTTTGTTACCGGCTTTGACTATAACAGTCTTTTCAGTTTTGACTGGACGGTCCTGCCATCCCCCACTTTTTCCCATGCTCTTCGGCGTCACGACTTCGCTGCTGGCTTATGCCTGCCTAGCTACCGCGGTGACCACCTTTACCGTTCCACACCTTGCAGGCCAAGATGACACGCCCGCTTTACTAGAGGCGATGAAGGACCTCTCTTCGGATTCGACGATTTTATTCGAAAGCGGTATCACTTACAATATCTTCACGCCCATTCAATTCCCCGAATTAACCAACGTCGAAATTCGTATTGAGGGAAACCTAACATATCCGACAGATATACCGACAATACAAAGTAAGTTTTATTTGCTAGACTTTGAGTACCCCCAGATAACCTTCGTCGTCAGAAATTGTGGGTGCGGCGGTAAGATCAATTGTCCTCCATCTCCTCGATACCGAAAACTAATGGCTCGTTGTAGGGTTTTCCTGGCTCATGGATCACCTTCACTGGTGGAACCAACGTGACGCTTCAGGGCTCCTTGGATCCTCATTGGGGATGGATTGATGGTCATGGCCAAGCGGTGAGTACCCGATCATTCTACAATCTGCGTGATCTTACCCATATTTCAGTGGTGGGATGCCCAGAATCAGATTAATCGTCCGCATGGAATTGCATTTAGCCATATCAACAATGGCGTCATTCGGAATATGAAGATTTGGAAGGTATCGTCTCATCCTTCACGGTGATGACCTCTGGATTGAGGGGCACCTCTTCGTTTAAAGCCCATAGCGTGGAACTTCGCAACGAGCGGTTCTTCAAATATCCATGCGTTCAATAACACGATTATCGCTGTGTCGAGCACTCAGGTACGAAAGCTATCTTTCTCTCGCCTTCGGAAATAGTAACGACGCATTTATCCAGTCCTTCCCATTCAACACGTGAGTGGGCTTGACGTTCTCTATTCTTTGGTCCCACTTATGACACCGCTTATGCTTCATTAGGGACGGTGAGCGCCATCGTTCCCGTGGTTCGGTAAATTGAGCGCTTAGTTGCCGAGTTACATAGGGTTTTCTGCCGGGGGATCTAATATGATTTTCGAAGACAATTTTATCCAGAATGGCGACGACTGCCTTACTGTCGGAAGTGGCGCGTCTAATATTACCTTCAGGTATCTGCAACAGTCTTACCCCGTTAGCTCTAATTTGTGAACGACCCCGTAGGAACACCTATTGTGAAGGCGGGCATGGACTTTCGATTGGGTCCCTCGGAAAGGCTGGTCAAGTCGCCAATGTTCAAAACGTCCTGTGAGTATATTCGATGTGTTTCATTGGCACACGAACTCATTGTACCGATCAGTATTGAGAATATCCAGATGGTTGGTCCTCATCGTTGCCTAATATTGAAACCAAATATGATCTCTGCTGTCCCCCCAGAAAAACAGCTTATATGGCGCTCGATTCAAGAGCTGGGCAGGCGGCAATGGTCTCGCTCGAAAGTAAGGTCATTCTTTCTCCGACTTAGTATTGATGAACAACCATATTTCAGCATTACATGGAGGAACATCGCCTTCGTCGACGTTCCGTTCCCCGCAAGTTTTCTGCCTCTACAGTTTTTGCGTGTTTTCTAACCATTTTTCTATAGATCTACGTGACACAAAAGTACTCTTTCTATTCTTGACTTTCCTCTCCTTGATTGATCGGTCGCGCTAGCTATTGGGATCCAGGCGTGAGCTATTTCTCGTCAATTTTACACTTTCCAATCTCCTAAATTTTATCTAGGCCGGTCCAAAACCTAACTCTACAAGCAGCAACAACACCCATATTCAAGACTTCATGTTCGAAAATTTCACAGGCATTATAAAAGAGTATCTTCCATCCATTAGCTCCGCTTTTCATCCATCCTGACGCTTGACAGTAAACCCTACGTGGAAGGGTCATGCATTACCAATCCCTGCTGGTTTGGTTTTCACCCGAATAAATATGATATGGTCTCACTTTGGTTACTAATAGGTACGCTGTCCCTGGTGCGACGGGGAAAGAAGTCATTATATATGATCTTGCTCCCAGCACCTGTACGTGACCCGTTCTTTCTCTGCTCTTTTGTCTTACTTTGAATGGTAGCCTCGAATATTGTCGCGAAGAACATCGTCGCCACCACACAAACACACGTACCTGCAGCCGTTATGTGCGACCCCAAGGCAGTGCGTGATACATGACTTTCTCGATTAAGGCGGCTGACTAGCAATCTGTAGATAACCTACAATACCGGTTTCAAGTGTTGGAATGGCCTATATCTCCCGACCTCCAAGTAGGCTGGTTGGTTGATCAATTCATATTCACTGTCAACCTCCGTATCACCATTCAATATTCACTCATGGTATAACATATGGTTGTTGTTATTCGAACACTTCATTTATTTCGGGAGGATTTGACCAGGGTAAGATGCCGTCGGAGGACATCCCTTCAATTAAAATGCAAGCTTTTTACAACAGTACAATCGATACCAAGATACACTCCCCAATACCACTCTTGAATCATCAATAGACGTGATCGCTCTCCTCGGGGTCTGGCACTCTACTTACGCACAAATTCCACGTACCTTTCTGCCCAAGAATGCGATGATAGTTGTGTCTGG